CCTGTGCTTTGCTAAGCTTGTTCTAAGTAGGTGCTTTAGACCACTGAGCCATCTTACCAGCCCCATGGAGACTGAATTTCTAAATAACCCTATAGGAAAGAATATGTGCCAGGTGTGGTGGCACATGCCTATAATCTCAGCGCGAGGGAGGTTGAGGCAGGAGGATCACCGCGAGTTTGAGGCCAGCTTGGGCTACAAAGTGAGCTCAAGGCCAGCTTGATGAGACCCTGTCTCAAAAGAAAAAAAAAAAATTGAGAGTCTGGGGGCAGCTTTGGAAGAGAGACTGTGGGACTGCAGGCATGCTGTCATGTCCAAGTTCTAGCTGGCTTCTTGCTTTGGGGTCAAGGTGTCTGGGACCCCACAATCTCTGATTTTAGAATCGGTAAACCTCACAAACCTCAAACGCAAAGAGAAGACAGAAACATCCACAGAGTTTGAAATGAGACTTTTTCTGCTTAATGTGTGTTCAGGTTTGCGTGCATCTGTGCAAACTGTGCTGCCTTGTGCGTGCGCATTTTAAATATCACTGTATCGCACTGTGTCGCCCTCAGTTTCTACTGCACTGTTTCTTTTCTTTCTTTCTTTCTTTCTTCTTCTTCTTCTTTTTTTTTCAGAACCAGGGATTGAACTCAGGCCCTTGCACTGGCCAAGCAAGCGCTTATTCTGCTGACGTATCTCCCCGGCCCTGCACTTTGTTTCCTTGAAGCAACCAGTGGCATGTCGTGAACACTCCTGACCCCTTGCTGCTGCTGCTCCTTCTTCTTTCTTCCTCTTCCTCTTCCTCCTCCTCCTCCTCTCCTTCTTCTCTTTCTCCTCCTCCTCCTCCTCCTCTTCCCCCTTCACCCCTCCCCCTCCTCCCCCTCCTCCTCCTCCCCCTTCCTCCTCCTCCTCCCTCGTGGTCCTCGTGGTAGTTGTCATTGTCTTTGAGACAGGCTCTCACAAGCAGCTCAGGTTGGCCTTGAGCTCACGTTGTAGCCTGGGCTGGTCTCCATCTCTCAGCGATCCTCCTGCCTCAGCCTCCAGAGTGCTGAGATTACATGTGTGTGCCATCACGTTCAGGACGAATTCCCCTTATTACTGGTTTCCAGAATGACAGCCCCAGGGTTCCCTCTGCAGAACTGGGAGCTGAGTATGCTCTGCTGACACTGGGCATCATTTTTGACTTTCTAATTTTATTTATTTATTTTTTGGTGGAGGGACTGGGATAGAAGTCAGGGCCTTTGCACCGAGCTACATACTCAGTTTATTTTTTATTTTTTGAGACAGGGTTTTGGCTAAGTTGCTAAACTCACCAGACTGGGCTTGAACTTGGGATCCTCCTGCCTCAGCCTCCCAGAGTGCTGGGTTACAGACCTGGGCCACAGAGGGTGGCTCTGGCTTTTTTTTTTTTTTTTTTTTGGTACCAAGGATTGAACTCAGGACCCTGAGCTTACCAGGCAAGTGCTTATTCTACTGAGCTATCTCTCTGGCCCTGGCTTTCTAATTTTTACCAGTTTCATTGTTGTCAGTGACAGCTCATTGTCATTTGAACCAGTATTTTTTGATCCCAAGTGCCCTGATCATTTCTCCTGGGCTGGTAGGCCTGCGGGGGCTGCTCAGGGCCTAGAGAGTCTGACATTTTGCTCTTGGGGGTTGCGGGACTAAGACAACGAAGTCCAGGTTGGGGAGCGCTGCCGGGCCCGGAGGCTAGGCAAGCTGGGGTTAGGCGCGGGGCACCCGCGGGGCGACGGTGTGCGCGCAGGTGCGGAAGAGGAGCAGGCACGGAGGAGGCGGAACACTGCGCTCCAGCTCGGGCCTGCTGGGGCCTCGGGGCGCGGGATGGAGGCTGCGCACCCAGGAGACCCCCGGGGCGAGTCCCACGGCAGTGAGTGCCCGGGGCGCGCGGGGCGGGGCTGGCGCGCGGCTACTGGGCCTGAGCAAGGGGGGTGGGGCGGGGCGCGCGACAGCCGCGGGGACCTCGGCTGCGGCTCTGGCAGTCACTAGCACTTGGAGAGCTGTGGCGGAGACGCGAACGAGGATCCTAGCAGCGTCCTCGCTGAGCCTCCCGGAGCAGGGAGAACCGTGCGGCGGCCCTGCAGCTGCGACCTGCTTCCGTCTCCATTCTGCAGAGCAGAACGCAGGAGGTGACGGAGAAGTGGGAAAGACGCTGCTACCCAGCCCCGTCCCCCTGCTCCCCCGCTCCCCTGCTCCCCGAGTGTGTCTAGGGGGACCTGAAGCCCTGGGGAGGGGCTCTGGCCCAGCCCCAAGTGGCCTGAGCTTTGGAGGTCTTTGCCAGGGCGCCTGTACCTTGCGCTCCTCTCGGCATCGCGCGGCCGGTGGCTGGTGCGGCGCTGGGCTCTTCTGCCTGGGAGAGGGGAGAGGCCGTAGGGCCGGGGTCCCCATGGAGAATCTTCCATCCAGCAGCCCCGAGAGCCGAGCCCAGGGCTGCCCCCAAGTCCCCACTATGAAAAAGCCACGTGTTCAAAATGCTCAAGCGCGAAGAGTGCGTTTCCTCGTGAGCTCCATCATCTGATGCCGTTTCCTAGGAGGTGCAGGGTTCTGCCTGGGGCTGAGGATCCCAGCGTGGCTGCCTTAGCTCGGGAAAGCCTCATGTTCAAACAACGAGCAGCAGAGCAGCCACCGGGCCGGGTGTGCTGGTGCTGGCCTGTCATCCGGGCCCTCAGGAGGATCAACGTGGTGGAGAGGAGGGAACTGTGGACAGAAGGCCCCGCTAGGGTAAAGGCTGCGGGTGGGAGAGGCGACAAGGTGGGCTCTGAGCAGTGGCTGCTTGCTCTTTCCCCACAACCTTGAGTGTTTTGCCAGCACAAACTAGGCCCAGGCTGCTCCTCCAGCTTCAGCACCTTGGGTGTCAGAATCCTGTGGTTGCCCTCCTGGAGGTTTATTACTGGGTAAACCTAGCCCAAAAAAGGTGGGTGCCCCTGCCCAGGGTCCTGCTGCAGCTGCCTAGGACTGCGTGGTGGTGGGAATTGAACTCAGAACCTTGTACATAACAAGCAGGCACTTATGCCACTGAGCTATATCCCCACCCCCAAGAACTGTGTGGTTTTAAGGCAAAAGGTTAAAGAAGGATTTGCACGGGACAAGCCAGGTGTGGTGGCACACGTGAATGCTTTTAACACTTAGGAGGCTGAGGCAGTAGGATGGCAAGTTGAAAGCCAGCCTAGGGAATTTAAGAGATCTTATCTCAAAATTAAAAGGGTTGGGGGTGCAACTCAGGGGTAGAGCATCCCCGGGTTTGAACCCTAGTATTGGGGAAAAGCAAACAAAAGCACAGGACATATGCTTGTTGGAGGGATTTGGATGTAAGAAGGGCTAGGGTGGAGATTTGACTTAGCGGTAGAATGTTTGCCTAGCAAGTTGGGAGCTCTGGGTTTGGTCCTTGGCACCAAAAACAAAAAATAAACCTTCCCTAAAGAACAATTCAACAACAACAAAAAAATACAGTAAAATAAAAAAAGACCAAAACTAAGCAAGGCAAGTGGACTGAAAGAGTCTTTTTTTTTTTTTTTTTTTTTTTTTCCGGAACCGGGGATTGAACTCAGGCCCCTGCACTTCCCAGGGAAGCGCTTATTCCACTGAGCCATCTCCCTGGCCCCTAAGAATCTCTTCTTGTGTTTGTTTTTCTTTGTTGTTTTGAGACATTGTCTTGATTGTAGCTCAGTGAGCTTGAACTCACTGTGTACCCAACCAGGCTGGCTTTGTACTTGTTTTTGTTGTTGTTTTTTAATGGATTTGGTTGTTTCAGGGTCTCACTATGCAGCTCAGACTTGTGATGATCCTCTTGCTTTCAGCCTCCCCAGCGCTGGGATTACAGGAGTGCACCACCATGCCCAGGCTCTGTCTGGCTCCGCCCACCCTGGAGGTGGGGCTGGCATGGCATGTGGTGCTGGGGATCAAACTGTGGTCCCTGCACTTTCCTAAGCTTGCCTAAGCAGGTGCTTTAGTCCACTGAGCTATCTTTGGCTGACTTTGTACTTGTAAGGATCCTCCTGCCTCACCCTCCCAAGTGCCAAGATTACAGACGAGAGGGACTGTTTTAGAGTTTATTGTGGTAAGAATTGTCTCACCTCACCTCCAGGTTGAGCAGACCCCTTGGGGCAGGTACTGAAGGACCTCTCTTCGCCGAAGCAGGTCTCTGAAGTTGCCTTGCTGGGAAGAACTTACATCCAAATCCCTCTTTCCTCCTGTAGTTTTTCTAGGGAACTCTGTGTCTCAACTGGGGGAGTACCTGATGGTTCACACCCCCACCCCAGGAAGCTGAATGAATTACAGGAATGAGTTGCTTTTTTTCCGTAGCAGACAGGTGCTGAGGCCCGGGTTTGGGAAAACTGCAGTTAATAAATCAGACCCGAGCCCCTCTCCTTGTGAGCTTGTGTAGAGGGGAGGCAGCAGACAATGTGGAGCTGTGAATACAGTGTGTGCCGCAGCATAGGGAAAGGCAGCGCAGGGTCGGGGGGTGGGGAGCGGGTGCGTGTCCCTGGCCTGGGGTGCACTGGGTCAGGGGTTCCTTCCGTGAAGGAGGCCTCAACATCTCCAGCTCTGCGGCCAACAGATTTGTTCTCTAACTCTTTTTTTTTTTCCTTTTGTTCTCTAACTCTTTTTTTTTTTTTTTTTTTTGCGGAACCGGGGATTGAACGCAGGCCCTTGCGCTTGCCAAGGAAGCGCTTATTCCACTGAGCCATCTCCCCAGCCCCTGTTCTCTAACTCTTGACCTTGGAGTTCGAGTCATAGACCTTTGGGTGTCCCAAACACTGTGCTAGCACCATCTTCTTTCCAATACCTCTGCCGAAAGCCTCACACTCTCCTCTTGCAGATGAGGAAACTGAGGCACCAGATAAACGAGTACCCTAAGTCACACGGCGAGGAGGAAATGGCTTAACATTGCCCAGCCCTGAGATACCAGGTTGTTTTCAGGAAACCTTGCATCCTCTTTCACATCCTGAAGGCTGGGTGGGGTTTATCTGGAACAAAAAGAACACTTGGCTCATCGTGGCCTTTGCTGCCAAAACCCTGGTGACTGGGCCCTGGATGCACAGGGCTGGGGGCAGACATTCACACGGACCGACCTGCCGGGCACAGGTTTGGCAGCAGTGAAAAAACAAGTGGGTGACTGCAGAGCGCTGGCAGATACGAGACCTGGGTTCTGTTTGTGTCTGAGCCTTTCTGGCTCTTCTGGCCTTGCTCCGGGCTGACACACAAGAAGCCTGGCAGCCTGGCTACCTCTGCTGGGGACACAGTGATGGAGAAGCTGGGTCCTGATCCTTCTCGCGAAAGTTCTGGAAGAGCATAGAGGCCTTTCCCCTCACCCCACACCCCCCTTCCGCAGTGCTTCCCCTGGAGAGGCAGCTGCAGGAGGCTGCGCGTCGGGGCCAGGTTGGGAGGATGAAGGAGCTGATCGCCAGGAAGGTGAATGTCAGGGCCAAAAATCATGTAAGTGGGAATGCCCCTGTGGCCCTTCTGAGAGGTGCAGCACCCCAGACCACCATGGGAGGGAAGCTTGGTGAGCCCAGGCCGGTCCCTGGGCTCAGAGGTGATGCAGAGACAGTCCTAGCCTGGGACACTTCTAGCCTGCTGACCCGGTCAAGGGAAGTCCCTGTGGGAGGGGACAGAGGGAGAGGCCATCGCTTCTGGGGGGTGGGACACCAGGGATAGATATGTTCAGGAACTTCCTGGAGGCAGAAGGGTCACATGCGGGGCTCCTGAAGGCACAGAGGCTGCGCTGGCTGGAGTGACAGGATGGGGTGCACAGGACCCATGAGCCTGCCTGGGGCGTGGCAGTGGAGCCAGGAGTTCCGGATGCATCTGCTGGGCTGGCTTCAGAGCACCGTGTACCTGTTTACTGCTGGCCCCAGCTCAACCCGGAGAGACCAGGAGGGCAGGAAATGCCAGCACTGTGCCAAGTCCAGGCTGGCACCACAGGAGCTGTGGGTCACGTTAGGTCACACAGTGTTCTGCTGGGGACTGAAGCTTCGCTTGGCGCAACTCCTGGAAAAGCTGCTAGAAAGCTTGGGCTTGCAGGATGACAGGATGCCGACCCCACATTCGTTCATGCATCAATCAATCAATTAATTAATTAAGTCACAGGCTAACTAGCTCTCACATTCATTCACCAGTGCTTGGTGCTGGGCCCTGCCCTAGCATCTGGGGACAGAACAAAGGCCTTGGACGTGGTCCCTGCCCTCTTGGTGGCCTGGATGTGAGGACAGACATTAAGCAGAGTCTCACAGCCCATTGCCACATGAGCACATGGATGGATCAGCGCTTCTAGCGAGCCAAGGGAGAAGGGCTGTTGTCCAGGCTGGAGTGACATGGCAGGGGTGTGCCCAGAAGCCCTGAGGAAGGAACTGTTTGGTACCTGGTGTAGGGATGCAGCTGGCCTGAGATCATGCAGAAAATCATTCTTCCCTAAGAAGAAGAATTCTGCTCCTAAGCTGACAAGCACAGAGGCCAGAAGAAGGTTGGCTTCCTCCCGGGTCACCCAGATGTCGCCAGGGCCAGTGGCTGTGATGAGTGAGGAGAGGGACTGAAGACAGAGTGGCAGTAGGTTATCAGGTGTCCCTTGGACTTGGAGAATAACCCTAAGGCACGGGTGGCTGCCGGGCAGGACCAAAGGCTTAGAGTGGAAGGTGGTTTGGCTCCTTTTTTTGGTGGGAGGAGATGTTAACCCAGGGCCTTCGCACTGAGCTCCAGCTCCAGCCCTTTTTATTTTTATTTGGAGAAAGGGTCTTAGTTAGTTGCTCAGCCTGGGATCTAGCTTGTGATCGTCCTGCCATGGCCTCCCGGAGTGCTGGGATTACAGGTGTCAGCTTCCATGTCTGGCTGTTTGGGCCTTCCAAGAAGCAGCGGTGGGCAGTGCCAGCCGTGCAGAGTGGTGAAGGCCCTGGGTTTAAGAGCTGGTCCCAAGAGCAGAGTCCTGCCAGTCTGCAGGCCAGCTGTTCTGGCCGGTGTGTATGGGCCATGGCAGGTGCAACGACTCGGTCCCTGTCCCTCCCGCAGGTGGGCAGAGTGGCACTGCACTGGGCCGCGGGTGCAGGGCACGAGCAGGCCGTGCAGCTGCTGCTGGAGCACGGGGCTGCCATGGATGATGCGGATGCGGTAGGCGCCCCTCATGGAGGCCTGTGTGCGTCTGTCTGTCTGTCTGTCTGTCTCAGGGCAGGGTGAGGTGCCTGAGGTCTTGCTAGCTCCATGAGCCTGTTGTTGTTGAGACTGTCACTAGGACATGGACATCAGGGATCAGGCTGGCGGACAGTCAGGCCTGCCCCGCTGATGCAGCTTTTCCCCAGTGTGGTAATAAAAAGCTCTGTGAGCAGGGCCTCTTGATCCTGAGTCTCTTCTGAGCTGATAATTGGGGGGTGGGGGAGGAGCTGGATTGAGCAGAGTCCCCAGGAGCAAGGTCTCTCACGATGGGGCCATGCCTGGCACAGAGGTTGTTGTCGTGTACAAACTTCGGACAGAGCAAGCACCTGCAGCCTCAATTCTGTCAGCTGCATGTGTGGTGGTGCACTCTGGGAGGCTGAGGCAGGAAGATTCTAAATTCCAGCCCAGCTGGGGAAATTTAGCAAGATCTTGGCCCCCAAATTAAAGGGGAAAAAAAGGATGGGAGGGCCTGGGAATGTAGCTCAGTGTGGTCACTGGGTTTAATCCTCAGTATTGGAAAAGGAAGAAAAGTAGCTCCACAGGGTTAGGAAAAGGGCTGAATCCGACAGGGACATTTGATAAAGAAATATTTTACAATCCAAGCTTTTTTTTCAGTACTGGAAATTGAACCCAGAGCCTTCTAACTGATCTCTTTTCTTTTCTTTTTTTTTTGCGGAACCAGGGATTGAACTCAGGCCCTTGTGCTTGCCAGGGAAGCGCTTATTCCACTGAGCCATCTCCCTGGCCCTGATCTCTTTTCTAAGATAGGGTCTTATTAAATTCTTAAATTGCCCTGGTTGGGCTCAAATTTGCCATTCTCCTGCCTCAGCCTCTCAAATAGCTACGATTACAGGCCAGTACTACCACCCTCAGCTCCCTTTTTTTTTTTTTTTAAATTTTTTATTTATTTGTGTGTGTGTGTGTGTGTGTGTGTGTGTGTGTGTGGCCAGCTCAGCCCACCAGGGGGCGGGGCTGGCTGGCATGTGGTGCTGGGGGATTGAACCGCGGTCCCTGTGCTTTGCTAAGCTTGTTCTAAGTAGGTGCTTTAGACCACTGAGTCATCTCTCCAGCCCCTTCAGCTCCCTTTATTTTATTTTATTTTAATATTTATTTATTTATTTATTTATTTATTTATTTTGTGTGTGTGGCCAGCTCAGCCCACCAGGGGGTGGGGGCTGGCTGGCATGTGGTGCTGGGGGATTGAACTGCGGTCTCTGTGCTTTGCTAAGCTTAGCTTGTTCTAAGTAGGTGCTTTAGACCACTGAGCCATCTCACCAGCCCAGCTCCCTTTTTTTTAAAAAAAAAAAAAAATTATTAAATCCTTGCAGAGATTTAGTTGCTCATGAAAATGGCTTCTCCCTGCTCCCTGCTCCAGGGCCCCACCACGAGAAGGCCTTGCCTGCTAGTTGTGGTTGGGATGGGGCGCCGATGCCCTGCTCTATGCAAGCCAGCCCCTTCTGCCAGGAAAGACCCAAGAGGTCATAGTGCAGCGTGGGCACCACAGTCACCACCTCCAAGATGTCCTAAGGGGATTTCAACAGTGGTTCTCAGCCAGGCCTGGTGGCCCATGCCTTAATCCCAGCACTTGGGAGGCTGAGGCAGGAAGATCACTCCAAGTTTGAGGCCAGCCTGGCTACATAGTGAGTTCAAGGCCAGTCTATCTCAAAACAGACAAATAAACAAACAAGCAAAAACAAAAACAAAAGAACCCCCAAACTAAAACAAAGCCAAATGATTCTTGATGAGGCCAAAATCTTCACGACTCAGAAAATACAGACATTGTCACGTACTTGTTTTTCTTTTTCTTTTGTCTTGGCTGGAGATAGAACCTAGAGCACTCTGAGTGTCAGGCAAATAAATGCTCATCTGAGCCCCACCTCAAACCCTGTAGCGTGTTTCTCATGAAGTTTATTTATTTATTTATAATGTATTTGATTGTTATAGGTCTCACTATGCAGGTTGGACTCACAGTGATCCCCCTTTTTTCAGCCTTCCCGGCGCTCGGATTACGGGTGTGTGCCACTATGGTCGGACTCTGTGGCCAGCTCAGCCCCTCTAAGGGTGGGGCTAGCGTGGCACGTGGTGCCTGGGATTGAACCACGGTCCCTGTACTTGCCTAAGCTCGCCTAGGCAGGCTCTTTAGTCCACTGAGCTATCTCACTGGCCTGTGAAGTTTATTTTTAAACAATAGATTCTGTGATTGGTTTCCAATTTCCTTTTTTAAATGTATTTAGTACAGGGTCTACAGGGTCTCACTATACAGATCGGACTTGTAGTGATCCTTCCCGTTTTTTAGCCTCCCAAATGCTGGGATTACAGGCATGCGCCACCATGCCCAGTCTTATTCACAAGTGCTGTCTCAGTGTGCCCTGCGGGCGGGGCCAGCACTGGGGATTGAACTCCAGCCCCCACATTTGCCTAATCAGGTGCTTTAATCTGCTGAGCTATCTGGTCAACTCTCCTTTCTTTTTTTAAAAAAAAAATATTTATTTTTGAGACACAGTCCCTCTATGACCAGGGTGGCCTTGAGCTTGCTATGTAGCCTAGGCTGGCCTTTAACTCAGTGATCCTCCGGCCTCCGCCTCCCCAGTGCTGGGGTCGTAGGTGTGTACCACCATGCCTGGCATTTTCTTGTTTTGATGTGATATTTCTTTATGAAATTGTGAGAGTAAATGGCAGCTATTTTATCTTTAGGTTTCATCTAGCAACAAACAATTTGCAACAGTCTGTCATTCTTTATTACACAAACAACACAAGGCTCAGGCCACGCCCCTCCCCGTCCTCTCCCCCAGTTTGGGATGAACGCGCTTCTCCTGTCTGCCTGGTTCGGCCACTTGCGGGTCCTCCAGATCCTGGTCAGCTCTGGGGCCAAGGTCCACTGTGAGAACACGGTAAGGCACCAGTCTGCGGCCCTGAGCCCGGACCCTCTGATCCTGCTGCCCCATGCTTTGGCCTGTGCCACCCCGCCCCCCACCCTGCTCCTGCCTCTGGCTTACCCGCTTCTGAGGACCTTTCCCAAGGCTTGCTGCGCTCAGCCCTGTGATGCTGCCCTGCCCACTGCTTCCTTGGGCTGGACAGCAGTGGGACAGCGTCTCTGTGGTGCCCCACGCTTGACTGCTCTGTGATGTGGGGGTGGCGCCCAGCCCCTCACCCTGGGCTCCTTGCTGACAAGAGAGCAGCCAGCACAATGCCCAGAGCCCTCTGGTGTCCTCCTGCCAGGTTGCACCCCATACTCCCTGCTCAGGGGCAGGGCTCCATTCATCAGCCCTGGGGCTGTGAGTTACTTCATCATTCTGAGCCTCAGTTTCCCTCTTTGGAAATGGGTGAAGAAAGGGTGGTGCTGTGTGTGCCTTTAGGCTGGGCGCTGGCCCCTGAGGGACCCTGGCAGCTCTTGCAGCTCAGCAGGGAATGTGTGGTCCCAGGGGGCTTCAGCAAGTCCCAGAACTTGGGACTCCTCCACTGGTTTTTCCTTCTCTCCCACTTCTGTGTAGCTCACAGTGGCCTGGGACTCATAGTGAGCCTCCTGCCTCAGCCTCTTGAGTACCGAGATTACAGGTGTGCACCATCCGGCCAGGCCGTGGAAAGTTTCTTTTCATCTTTCTGAGACAGGGTCTCACTGTGCAGTTCAGGCTGGCCTTAAACTCATTTTTTTAGCCCAGGCTTGTCTTGAATTCACAACGATCCTCTGCCTCTGCCTCCCAAGTGCTGGGATTACAGGCGTGAGTCAGCATCTCTGACTTGGATTCTCATTTTAATTTTTCTGTTTTGCATTTTGGTATCAGGAATCAAACTCAGAACCTTGTGTTTGCCAGGCAGGTACTTGTAGTACTGAGTGATATCCCTAGCTCTTTCATTTTAATTTTTTAGTCATTTCTCCTCCTCCTCTTCTTCCTCTTCTCCCTCTTTGTCCTCCTCCTCCTTCTCTTTTTCCTCCTCTTCCTGCTCCTTTTCCTCTTCTCTTTCTCCTTCTTCTAGGCAGGGTCTCACTAGGCCCAGGCTGGCCTCAAACTTGTGATGTTCCTCCTGCCTCAGCCTCCCGAGTGCTGGGATTACAGGTGTGCACCTTCACACCTGAATGGCACAGAAAGCTTTTGAATAGTTTTTTTAATTTATAGAATACTTTTCTTACAGGCAACGTTACCCAGCCTTCTGTCCCCTGTAGAGGCAGTCAGGATTACTGTCCTGATGGACCTGGGCGGACAGAGAAGGAGGCTCAGAGAGGCTGAGGCACCAGGCGCAGAGCCCAGAGTCGAGCAGTGTGTCACACCTGGGCTTGTTATCCTGGCCTGGCCTGGCCTCGTCCACAGTGTCCAATGGGCAGTGTGTCCTGGGACATGCAGCATATGGGAAGGGCCTCCCTTCGCAGCCCACGGGCTGCTCTGGGCTTGTTTCCAGGACGGCCTGGCCTTATTGCACTGCGCAGCCCTGAGAGGTCACGTGCCCGTGCTGGCGTTCGTGATGGAGGACCTGGAGGACGTGGGCCTGGACCGCAGAGACAAGGTGAGAGCTGCCCCACGGTCCGGGACACTCTTGCGCATGCCCTAGGGCATTCTCTAGCCGCGCATGTGCAGACTGTGTCCATCTGGAGGGGTGTACGACATAGACAGGGGGCCGCAAGCAGAACACGGTCAGATGGCTGAGAGGACCTGGCCGAGGTTGGAGAAGAGAGCACTGCGTTCTGCCCCTTGGGAGGTGGTATGTGGTGAAGGAACTGGATCCAGCGAAGACTGGACAGGGTGGGAGCCCTGCTGGAGCCTGGGGTGGGGGAAGGAACCTGTAGTGGTGAGTTAATCTTGGGGCAAGGCCAGAGTGGTTAAGAGATCCCACTCCAACCTCAGAAACTCCGCTGCTCCGGAGGTATCAGGGAACCACCCAAGGCAGGCCTGCAGCAGGTCAGGGCACCCCCAGTGGCTGCTGTTGGGGAGCAGGGACTGGGCTTCCCAGGTAGGGCGCGTGGGTGGGGCGATGGGGGGAGAGTGGGCTTCTGAGCCCAGAGTGGTGGAGAAACAGACAGGGAGGGCCGCGCCATGGCCCCGGAAGGGCTTACTGGCCTTCTCCTCCCGGCCAGCTGGGCAGGACAGCGTTTCACAGGGCCGCTGAACACGGGCAGCTGGAGGCTCTGGACTTCCTCGTGGGCTCGGGCTGTGACCACAGTGTCAAAGACAAGGTACCGAGATCAGGCGGCTCCGGGCTTCTGGCCAGGGCAGAGAAGGTGTGTTCTCTGCCAGGTGCCTCGCTTGACAAGGAGAGGTGTATTTTGGCTTATGGTTAGCAAGGTTTCACTCCACAGGTGGCTGGTGGCATTGCTTTTAGGCCTGTAGGGAGGAGGCGGGATATCATGGCAGAAGGGGAGGAGGGAAAGCAGCTCACCCCATGGCAACCAGGAAGCAAGGAGGAGAGAGAGAAGAAGGGGGCAAGATATCCCTTCTGGAGCGTGTCCTTTTTTTAGTGAGGTCCCACTGCCTAGGTTCTGTCACCTCCCAGCAGCCTAGCAGGTGGGTTGGTCCTCATGAGCTATTCGTGTCCCCGGCATTGATCCTTGCTGTTCTGGGAACCACGCCTCTGGCACATGAGCCTTTTGGGGGACATTTTAGATCCCCAGCACACCAGGACGATCTGGGGTACATGAGGGACACATAGGGTGAGCACTGGGAAAGTTGGGTCTGTCCTGTTTTATTTTGAAAGTAACTCCTCTGTCCTGCATTGTAAGGGAAGAGGACCCTGGACGTGACCTTGGAAGAGCTTCTGCTTGTGGTTTCGGGTGCAGCAAAAGGGGAGGGTGGCACTGCCTGGTGTGCAAAGTGCTGCCTGTCACAGGATTGCTCTGGACTATCACTTCCACGCCCTGGGCCTATCACTTCCGCTCCCTGGGCCTCAGCCTTATATTCAGTAAAACGAGGGTGGCTCTGGTGGAGTTGTGAGCTCTGTGTTTCTGGGGCTTCAGGTCTGCTGCCCCCTCAGGTATGGTTTTCCCTCAGGAGGGGAACACGGCGCTCCACTTGGCTGCTGGCCAGGGCCACACTGCTGTGCTTCAGCGACTCCTCGACATCGGGCTGGAGTTGGAGGAGCGGAATGCCGTGAGTCGCAGGCCCCTAGGGGAGCTCCCTCCCTTCACAGGGTTCAGGATAAGCATCTGTGTCACAGAGGGAGACTTTGAGGGACCAGGTTGGCCGGGGAACCCAGTAGAGCAGGGCTGGGAGGACAGGAGAGTATGACCGGCCAGTTGCGCAGCTTTTCCTCAGACCTTTCCCACGTGTTTCAGGAAGGCCTCACGGCCCTCCATGTGGCTGCGCAAGGAATCCACCTGGACTGTGTGCAGCGCCTGCTCGGGGCCGGAAGCCCTGTGAATGCCCTCACGCAGGTAGGGGCCCCTCCAGGGGCTGATGCCACCTTCCAGGGCTGCTGTCTGCCCATGCTGTGGAGCCATAACTGTCACAGAAGCAGCCATGGGGGTTGTGGAGAGTTCATGGGCACAGGCTTTGAGGCTGCAGAACCACACTGGGCTTCTGCGCTGAGGAGGCGTGTGATCTTGGGCACCTTCTTACCCTCTCTGAGCATTGATTCCCTTCTATAAACTGGGATGGCATATGATTGCTTTTTCATGTTGTTCTGGGGAGTAAATACCCAGGATAGAGGGACTCAAAACCTGCTAGCATCATTTACTCACTCGTGCATTTCTTGCTTGCTTGCTTGCTTGAGGCAGGGACTCACTGTGTAGTTCAGCCTGGCCCAGAAGCTAGTGATCCTCCTGCCTCAGCCTCCAGAGTGCTGGGGTTATAGGCTGCGCCACCACAAGTGGCTCTACACTTTTTAAAAGTGTATTGTTCTATGTTTGTCTTTTTATCATTGGGCTCCTAATAAGTCACAGAGCTCCCCCTCAACTATTACCTTGAGAAAATGCCCCTGTTTTGTAGATGAGAGAGCTGAAGCTTGGAGGACCTTTCTCATAATCAGGAACAAACAGAACGGAGTCTCAAATCCCCGTTCTCCTGACTCCAGAGCTGTTGCCCGTAGGCGGGAGCATTGCCAGATGTGGGACAAGACAAGGTGGCTGCACCTGGCCAGGGCTCTTGCTGCTTTACCCTTTTGGCAGAGAAGTAGAGGGGCAAGTGAGAGAGACGGAAGAGACGAAACGCGCCGGGCGCGGTGGACCGTGTCTGTAACCCCCGCGCTCTGGGAGGCGGAAGCAGCAGGACAGCAGGCTGGAGCCCAGCCTGGGCAGTTCAGTGACGCCGTGAAATCTTGTCTGAAAATGATTATAAAAAAGGGCTGGAGAGTGCCCTTTTTTATAGCTCATTGTGGGGGTCCTGGGTTTGATCCCCTGCTGCAGAAAGAAGGAAAGAAAAGGAGGAAGGAAGGAAGGAAGGAAGGAAGGAAGGAAGGAAGGAAGGAAGGAAGGAAGGGAAAGGCAAAACGCGAAGGTGGCTTTGCTTTGCTCCCTAAGGTTGTTCTCGAGGTGATCACCCAGCCCACAGGGGGTCTCTTTGCCACCTGACACCTCTTACAGTCCCATCTTTCAAGGCCACCCAGCGGCAGTTCAGTTTCCATATGAGCTTTGCATGGTACAGCTGCCTTCTGACCGCAGCTCCAGGGGTGTGAATAGAGCTCTCTAAGCCACATAGCTTGTGGTTTGCACAACTACACTGGTGGTGTGGGGATTACTACCCTAGGAGGCTACAGGGCCACTGAGAGGAGCAGGAGCCGCTGCAGGGTGCCCGCTCATGCCTTTGGGCTGGTGTGGCATTGCTCTTGGGCCCTGAGGCCCTTTGCTGGGCCAGCCCTACATGGGTCCCTCACAGTAACAGGAGATCGGGAGAGGGAGGTTTGCATCCTGTGGTGTTGCTGAGGCTGCCACTGGGCATTGCACTGGGCCTCATCCTCAAGTCAAGGCTGGAGGCGTCCATACACCCCAGAGTGTCATGCAGCAGGGGCTTCGAGGAGGGGACAGGTCCAAGGTGACTGCCTGTCCTCCTGGCAGGTGAACTGAGTCAGATAGGATTTTGGTCTTACTCATCCTGGTTTTCCCATAATTACCCTGGTTTAAAATGGAAAGTCTCAGTGGGGTGTGGTGGCACATGCTTGTAATCTCAGCAATTGGGAGGCTGAGGCAGGAGAATCATTCAGGCCAGCTAGCCCATGTAGAGTTCAAGGCCCTGTCTTAAAAAACCACAAACAACAAAAAAGGAATCTTTTTTTTTATTTATTTGAGAGAGAGAGAGAGAGAGAGAGAGAGAGAGAGAGAGAGAGAGAGTGGTGTGTGTGTGTGGCCAGCTCAGCCCACCAGGGGGCGGGGCTGGCTGGCATGTGGTGCTGGGGGATCGAACCGCGGTCCCTGATGCTTTGCCAAGCTTGTTCTAAGTAGGTGCTTTAGACCACTGAGCCATCTCTCCAGCCCCCAAAAAGGAATCTTATGTCCTATCCTGGAACACTGCTACATTGATCATCATGCTGGGGCAGGGGTGGGCCCACTGTCACAGGGCACCTAGCTGTCACCCCACGAAGCCCTGGGCTTTGGCCTGCAGCCTCTGCCTCCCCTTGCCGTTGCCCATTCCACCTGGGCAGAGTGCCAACCAGCATGTCCCTGTGGCTGTGGGCTTGGCCAGTCCGATTTGCTCTTCTTTTCTGCCCAGGAGTTGGCAGGTTGTGGTCCACACCTCAGTCTGCTGCAAGGTGAGGGAAGAGGTGGGGTCACCCTGGACCCCAGGCCTGGGATGGTCATGATTTCCCCTGCCCCAGGGGGTCCTGAGAAGCCACCACACAGTGCTGGGATGGACAAATGACCTTGCTTTTGGGCCTCTTTCCCTCTAGAAAAGACTGAGCTGCCTGCACTACGCAGCCCTGGGTGGCTCTGAGGACGTGTGCCGGGCCCTCCTCCGTGCAGGAGCCCATACTAATGTGGCTGATGATGTAAGTGTGTGCGCACAGACAGAAAGGGGCCCCTTGGAGGGCGCCTAGCACTTGGGCCCCTTGGGCATGGGGTGGGGCTGTGACTGGTAGCTGTGGCCCTGGGGACCCAGCTGGACTGGCCCTGTCTCCCAGCAGAGTTACCTGAGGATTTCTCTGCCCATTTCGGTAACAGGCTTCAGCAGTAACATCTTCTATAACCAGCCTAGCCCCTGTATTTTAGTGCTTGGGATTGAACCCAGGAGGGCTGAGCTAGCGTCTCTATCCTTTTCAGTTCTATTTTTTACTTTGAGGTGGGTCCTCAATAAGTTGTCCAAGATCAGTTTGAGCTTGTAATCCTTCTGCCTCAGCTTCCCAGGTAGCTGGGCGTAAGTACTCTGTTAAGTACCTGGCTTAATATTTCTCAATAGGAATTGGGTATAAAGCCCAGTAAGACAAGTCCCATGAGCCGTGTGTCCTCAGGCATGTTAGATGTCCTGGACGCCTGTGTGGATTAAGCGGGAGACTCTGCAGGTGACGTTGCTGAAGGAACTGTAGCAGTCACCACTTTCCAGAGGAAGAGTGGCCGAGGCTAGTGAAGGGCTTGGCCAGGTCACACAGTGAGTGGATGAACAAGACCGACACTAGGGGATCTCAAGCGTGGGTATGCGGGATCACTCTGGAGGGTCAGCTCTAGGCCCCAGGGACTCAGGCTTTGGGCTATGAATGCCTTAGGCCGCTCGCACTGTGAGACCCTAGCAGGGCCCAGCTAGCAGCACTGTACCGCTCAGCTCCAGCACCTGCCCCGGAGCAGCAGCTGGGCGGTGCAGAGGGCTCCATCCCCGATCCCCTCGTCTCCCCACAGCGGGGCACCTCTCCCCTCCACCTCGCCGTGAGGCACAACTTCCCTGCCCTGGTCCAGCTCCTCATCGATGCCCACAGTGACTTGGACGCCATCGACTATGTAAGTGGCTATGGAAGCCATCCAGGCCCTGAGATCCTCCAGGACCCTCCTAGGCTGGGAATCTCCTTTAGCATTCCAAGTGTTGTCTGAGCATTTATAGCCTTATTTTAGTTTTAGTTTTTTTTTTTTTTTTTGGTCTCATGATGTGATTCAGGCTGCCTGGGACTCACAGTCATCCCCTGCTGGGATTATAGGTGTGCACCACTGTGCCCAGATGCTAGCATAGTTTTATTAACCATTCTCCTATATTGAATATGTTGGCTGTCTTCAAGGGTTCGACATGCTGTATGCAACATTGTGGAAAATGGCCTACTTCAACCTTTTCCTTTCACCGATTTTATATATATATAAGGAAAAGGTTGAAGTAGGCTATTATATATGGTTCTTGGGGCATGAGTGACAGAGCCATTCTGAGATAGCAAGATTGCTGAGTCCCAGTGTTGTGATCCGTCAGGAGCTCTTTTCAGCCGCCCATCCCCCGCCAGTCTTAGCCCCAGCGTATCACAGCTCCAGGGGGGCACAGCCCCCACACAGGGGAGCTGGAAGCAGCTTGGCAGAGTGCGTCATGTCTTGTTGCTCATTTTCATTTCTGAGACCTGGGCCACAAGAAATACTTTAAAAGCTTTTTTTAAAATTATTTTTTTGTGGAGCTGGGGATTGAACTCAGTCCCTTGCACTTGCCAGGCAAGCACTTTTTCTGCTGAGCTATCTCCCCAGCCCCACGAGGCAGTTGAATCACCATGGGTTTGACACCAGCTTGGGCTACAGAGTGAGCTCAAGGCCAGATTGAACTGCATAGTGAGGTACTATCTCAAAAAGACCATGCCCAAAAACCCTCCAAAAGTAAACAAATCAACAACAACAACAAAACCCACAAGAGCTCATAGTGATAAGAGGATAGAAACAGACATCTTAAGTAATTTTTACTTATTAAAAAAAAAATAGGGGACTGGGGAGATGGCTCAGTAGAATAAGCGCTTGCCTGGCAAGCGTAAGGGCCTGA